GTAGCAGGGCCAAGCTGCAAATAAGATACCCAGCAAGCTGAGCTGCAAAAGAAGTCTCTCGGACCAAACCAGTTGCCAAAAAAATCCAGACAAGCCTAGCTGCAATGACTCTGGAAGAGGTTTAGAAAATCTAAGGCACTTGGAAGGACACTCTTAAACCTATTGAGCTTCCTGCTGGCTGTGCAGTGTATTCCAGGTTTATGAGCTGTCATTCATGCTGGGGGTGAGCTTTTGTGATGTAGTTAGCTGTCCTTGAGCCATTTCTGCTCCTGTAAGTAATTCCAATATAGCTTATTGATTCATCAAGTTGGACTTTGGTGGTATCTGTACTTTGGTCTGTCATGGGGTGAGTCGAAGTGTGTTGTGTCTTCCCAGGAAAAGTTTCGTCACACAACTGCCAGTGAGTTAGCTCAGTGGGTAAGGGTGATTGCTTCCAAGTCTAACAACCTGAGTTTCAGTCTTGGCATCCAAATGGTAGGAGAAAATCAACTCCACAAGTTGTCCTTTGACCTCCACGTGCGCATGCCATGGCATATTCATGCCTATACATGCATACAAAATAAATAAATAAATAAATAAGCATTAAAAACTACTGGGCATGGTTTCTATTGCTATGACAAAACACCAGGACCAAAAGCAAGTTGTGGGGGAAAGGGTTTATTCAGTTTACACTTCCACAGCGCTTTACCATCGTAGGAAGTCAGGACAGGAGCTCAAGTAGGAAAGGACTGGAGGAAGAAGCTGATGCAGAGGCCCTGGATGGGTGCTGCTTAGTGGTTTGCTTTCCATGACTTGATCAGCCTGCTTTGTTTTTTCTTTATTTCTTTTTTGTTTGTTTGTTTTCATTTTGTTTTGTTTTTGTATATGCTGCTGGAACAAGCTGCTCAGCCTTCTTTTTTTTAATAGAAACCAGGACTACCAGCCAAGGGATGGAACCACCCATAGGAGCTGGCCCTCTCTTATCAAATCCAAATTAGGAAAATGCCTTATAGCTGTATCTTATGAAGGCATTTTCTCAATCAAGTTTCCATCCTTTCAGATAACTCTAGTTTGTGTGTCAATTTGACTTAAGACCAGTCAGAACAATGGTATTATATACCTTTAATCTCAGCGTTCAGAAGGCAGAGAGGCAGGCAGATATTTGAATTCACCATCCTGAGACCCTGTCTTTAGAAACTATAGAATTTGGGGCTGGAGAGATGGCTCAGTGGTTAAGAGCACTAGCTATTCTTCCATAGAATCTGGGATTAATTCCCAGCACCCTCATGGCAGTTCACACTTGTCTGTAACTCCACTTCCAAGGCTTCTGACACCCTGACACAGATATACATGCAGGCAAAACACCAATGAACATAAAAATAAAAAAGGAACTATAGAATTTAATGTACTTTTTTTTTTTTTTTTTTTTTTTTTTTTTTTTTTTGAGACGGGGTCACTTTATAAAAGCTTTTACTGGCCTGGAACTTGTTATGTAGATCAGACAGGCCTCAAAATATCTGCCTGCCTCTACCTTCTGAGTGCTGAGCCACCACACCTGGCCCCTAATTTTTAAACATGATAAATGTAAACCAGCTGTGGGGATTCACATTTGTAATCTCAGAACTCAGGAGTCTGAGGCAGCAAGATTCCCTTGAGTTTGAGGCCATCGTGGTCCATAATGTGAGATCCTGTCTTAAAAAACAAATTTCATAAATGCAATAATGTGGATGAACCTAAAACAAACAACAACAAAAAAACACCTACTCTTTCACACAGTACAAACACATATATACTGTATATGAAGTACAATAAAGTAGAAGAGACCAGTTATTCAATACTGATTTAGTGATTTACTTAAAGTACTGCTTGTACCGCCTGTTTGCCAAGAATGACTTCACTTGCTACTTGGAACAGAATGACTTGAAGAAATAGCTGAAGTAATGGATTGTTGTCCTTAACAATCTGCTGCCAGTATGCTTCTGTAAAATTTTGCTTGTGGCCAGCTCTGTTGTGGCAGCACATGCTTTTAATCCCAGTACTTGGGAGGTAGAGGCAATTGGTATCTATGTGAGTTTGAGGCCAACCTGGTCTACAGAGTGAGGGCCAGGACAGGCTCCAAAGCTACACAGAGGAACCCTGTCTCAAAAAACCAAACCAAACCAACAAACAAAAGCCCAAACCAAACAAAATTTTGCTTGCTTGCTTGTTCTATATTGTGGGTTTACAGTATAAAATGAGAATACAAACTGAATCTGATACGAGGTTTTCCAAGAGCTACCATGGCTTCTATCTACTGGTAAATAATTTCTCTTCTTCTTTCATTGATATCAGAGTGCTTATTCCAGAAAGATTGTCACAACATGATTGCATTTACATAAACTTCTGGACAAGGTGACCCACTTCATAGTGACAGAAAACTGGCAATGGTGCCTTGAGGGGAGGCAAGGAAAGAATCACCAGGACATAAATTGGCTCTAGGTGACAGGCTATTGACTCTCTGGAGATTGACATCCTAGCTGAATACCTGTGTCAAAATCTAGCAGTGTATACTTTAAATATTTGCAGATTATCCTGTGTTAAGCTTAGTAATACTATTTTATTTAATTTATTATGTAACGTAATTAAAAAAAACTTTTTTTTGAGACAGGGTCTCATTATGTAGCTTTGGTTATCTTGAAACTGGCTATATAGCTCAAGTTGACCTCAAACTCATAGAGATCCACCTGTTTCTGCCTCCTGAGTACTGAGATTAAACATATTCAAATAAGCCCATTTTAAAAAGAAAGGCAGATGTCCTCATCTGCACAGGTCTTGAAGCCCATCTGGTACCTTTAATCTCAGCACTCTATGAGCAGACACAAATGGATCTCTGAGTTCAAGGCCATCCTGGTCTAAATTTTGAGGGCAGGCAATGTTACACAGAGAGACCCTGTCTGAAAACAAACCAATGAAACAAACAAACAAAAGAAACAAAAACAGGGGGCTGGAAAGATGGCTCAGAGGTTAAGAGCACTGACTGCCCTTCCAGAGGTCCTGAGTTCAGTTCCCAGCAACCACATGGTGGCTCACAACCATCTGTTATGAGATCTGGTGCCCTCTTCTGGTGTGCAAATATACATGGAAGCAGAATGTTCTATATATAATAAATAAATAAAATCTTTAAAAAAAAAAGAAAGAAACAAAAACAACAACTAAAGTAGGGCTCTTCTTTGGGACCTGAGCAGAACCCATGTGGGCAGACCTGTAACTCCAACTCCACGGGATCCAGTAACCTCTTTTGGCCTCTGTGTGAACATGCACATAAAAATAAATCTTTTTTTTTTTTTAAGTCGAAACAACATCTATCTGCCTATCTGCCTATCTGCCTATCTATCTATCTATCTATCTATCTATCTATCTATCTCTTCAGGGGTGTGTGTGTGTGTGTGTGTGTAGGCAAGAGGACAACAACTTGCAGGAAGGCATTGATTCTTTCCTTTGACCATGTGGATCCCGGGAATCAAACTCAGATTGTGAAGCTTGGCAACAAGTACCCCTTGAGCCATTATTGCTCTTACTTTTGGAACCTGCCTTGTAGTCAGTGGTTTGAAAGGAGCAACATAGCTTCATAAAAAAGCCTTTTAGAAGACTGAGAAACCCTTATCCTACTCTATTCTGTCTTGGGATAGTGGGAAATACTGGGAACATCCAAACTATGAGGCTAGCTGGAACCCTTGATCTGGCTCACAGTAGAATTTTGGTGCCCTCTCATGGCCATCAGGGGCATTTCAGGCAAAGCTTTGTCCTTTTCTGCCTGGTCTTCTGCAGGTTGCCTTTTTATCCTTGACCAAAGACCCTGAAGGCCATCCATCCTTTTGTCAACTCAACTGTTGTGCCTACTGAGCAGGATTCTGTCACTATATATAACCACAGCCTCTACAAGATAGCTGTGTTATGAACATGTCATCTTCCCGCCTAACATGAGTTTTTTTTTTTTTTTTTCTGGTTAAAGGCCCTGCAATATTCTAGAATTTTGGTGAGTTAAAAGGCTACCACATTCCCATTTTCCTTCATTTCCTTTACGCAAATTCTTTTAAAATTAGTCAATCATGAAAGATTGTGAGGTGGGACCCCATCAATGGGGAAAAGACACAGCCATGGTGATGTTAGAATAGAAACCAAGTGAACTTCCTCTCCTGGTATGCTCCTTATCCTGGTTTAGGTTGTAGCACACTCTTTATAAAAAATAAATTACCTAAATGAAATACATTTGCTTTGTTCATGAATTCCTTATTGCAACACTGAAACATTCTTGGTTCGATTCTATCAATAGTTGTATATTAAGAAATAATGCTTGGACTGGAGAGATGGCTCTTTTATAATAAATTACTCCCCACTGAAGCATTCCAGTAGCCTTCACAAAAACCCTTGGTAAGAGGATGCCCGGGTGTTGATGGCACATGCCTTTAATTCCAGCACCCGGGAGGCAGAGGCAGGCAGATCTCTGTGAGTTCAAGGCCAGTCAAAGCAATACAGAGACCTGTCTTGAAAAACAAAACAAATAACAACAACAACAAAAAACCTTGGTAAGAGGAAGAGTGGCTTTTAAGTGCTCTAGTATAGCCTGAAGCTTGGTTGGGGGGGGGGAGACAAAATAAACAAAATTTCAGCAACCATCAATAGCCGTCTCAAGAATCAGGTTGGCTCTATTCAAAAATTGCCACATTTGTTAAAAATGTTTTTATGGCAATCAGAAAGTCATGGCTTTCAGTGGTGGAACTATATTTTCTTTCAGTTTTGTTTTTTTGTTTTTCTTTCCAAAAAGTGGGTCTCACTGTGTAGCTCTGGCTGTTCAGGAATTCACTATGTAGAACATTGACATTATTTTCTTGCCAAACCCCCAAAACAAGAAACTCAGAAAATTAATGTTTAGTTTTCCATATATATATATATATATATATATATATATATATATATATAATCATAATAATATACATAATAATAATCATAACAATAATAATAAAATGAAATCATATTTCATTTTAGGACTGTGAAAATGTGTCATGGTAGTTATATGGAGTTCAATTGAAAATAGGAGAAACTGAAGTAGATTTCTAACTCAGAAGAATGATTTAGAAGAATCTGGAAGAAGCAGAGTCTGTCCTGTGATTCCTCCAGATGGAAATGGACTACCAGGGAGGGGGCAGGTGCTGTGAGGTCAGGCAGGATGATAGCAATGTGTACTACTTAGTGCATGGAGCCTGGATTTGTGAAGACCCTGCCTGGCCCAAAGTCTTGCTGTCACTCCAGCACCTCTTCTAATGTGCAATGGACAACTTCCAGTATAGTGTCCAGCTCAGTGATCGAGAGTGGGCCGAGTTCTCAGCCACTGTTGATGAGTGTGGCCTCTTGCAGGCTGGCCTGGCCTCTGGTGACGAGCTCTTGTCCAGTGACATTGGAAGTGACATTGGAAGTGACAGTGGAAGCAGCCCCCCTGGGCCCCCACCCCTCTTCACTGGGCAGCTGGCTCCCCAGGGGAGGGGACAACAGGGCTGTGAGTTGGAGGACGTGGCTGCTCAGCAGCTGGTCAGCAGGTCTCAGTGTGAGCCTGTCCTGGCTCTGGATGCCAGTCATCAGGTAGCCAGCACGTCCACACAGTCAGAAGCTCTACTGTTCCTCGGCTCAGACAGTGTCTGTCCTACCCAGGCCTTGTCCTTCCCAGGGTCAGCAACTTTAAGAGACAAGATGCAGAGGCTTTTGCAGGGCCCTGCTCCCAGCTCTCCTGGTGAGCCCTCTCATAGTCCTGACCCTGGCCACAGTGCCATGCCTCAGAGTGCCCCTGACAACATTGATACTCCACTGAGGAACCCTGGTCGTAAGAAGAGGCGTTCTGTGGGCACCAAGGGGGGCAAGTGCTCTGGATCTCTGGGATCTGCTGCTGTTCAGATGAGCTCCCCACAGATTATGGAGACCAAGCCCAAGGAGGTTCTTATGTCTGGGACATTAATGGTGAAAGACCAGCAGGATAAGCCACAGTCAGACTATGCAGGTGCTTCTGAACATGGCTCTAGTATCCCTGGACAGATGGCCAGACAAAAGTCAGGCTTGGATCTGTCTACACCTGTTATAATAACTGAAGAAGATACAGACCAGATCAGAAAGATACCCAGAGCTGTGCCACACATGATATCCAAACCTGTCCAGGAAGCTCATCCAGATGTCTCCATGGCCACACCAAATGTGTCTCTTTCTACACATGCCTCCATGCCTCAACCCTACATGGCTTTGTCTAAACCTGCCTCCAAGCCTCAGTCTGACACAGATTTGTTCCCACATGTCTCCACATCCGACATGACTTTGCCCACACTTGCCTTCAAATGTCAACCTTATACAAATCAGTCTACACCTGTCTCTGACCATGACATGGCTTTATCTACATCTGCCTCCATGTCTAAACTGGACAAAGCTGAGTTTGCACCTGATTGCATACCTGGATTGCATGAGGACCTATCTGCAGCAGGCTCAGAGATCAAGCCAGAAGTCTATCCCTCTATGCCTGCCCCAGTGGTTATGCTTTGTACAGATCTGCCTCATTCTGTTTCAAAGACTGAGTCTGAAGAGAGTGTGTCTATACCTGCTATGTCTTCCTTATCCCCTATTTCCCAGGCTGAAGCTGCCATGGTGGATATAGACATGACTGTGTCTCCTGGGAGATACTCTGAGAAGCCAATAGGACAGATCTCAGCAGGGTCCTCAGGATACTCCTCAGGAGAGCCTTGCCCAGGTCCTGTCCAAGCCCCCAAGAAGAAGAAAGTACGATTCTCCATGGCTATACCCAGCCATGAAGAGTCAGGATCAGGCGAACCTACAGGCCCACCCTTCCTAACCCCAGACTGGCCCCCAGCTCTCAGGACAGCATCAGGGAGCCGTGGGGGCTCTGCAGCCTGGGATGCTGTGGCTGTTGGGCCCCGTCTTCCCCAGCCTCGGATCCTTAAGCACCTGCCTCCTCCTGTATCCTCTGTTTCAGCAGAGCCTGAGCCTGGAAGCTGCTATGCAGTGACTCTCCCTGAGGCCTATGAATTCTTCTTCTGTGACACCATTGAGGAAGAAGATGAAGATGTAGAGAATGAGGCAGCAGCTAGCCAAGCCCTGGATGAAGTCCAGTGGCCTGACACATGCGAGTTCTTTTTTCGGGACAGCAGAGTCCAAAGGTCAAGTAGTCAGAGGGGACACTCCCTAGTCTCATCCCCAAGAGCAGAGGCTGTGGCACCTGTTCCCCCTGGAGATTTAGTGCCTATCTCCATCCCTGAGGTCTATGAACACTTTTTTACTGAGGAAGGATTTGGGAACAGCCAGCCACCATCTACCCATATCCAACCGCAGATCTCAGAGCTCTTCAGGGAAGTAGGGTCTGAGGCATACTCCAAGCCTGTTCCAGCTACAGCAGAACATCTTAGCTTGGCAATCAGAGAGGCAGGTAGGTGTTGATCAGGTCCTAGCCCAATCCAGGTCCTGAGAACATACTGTCCAGGGAGTTAGGCCAAGAGGATATGGGGGAGGGGCAGGAATGATCCTGATCATCTGCCTGTATGTTATGTGTTCTTGCATGCTCTGGGATCTATGTGAGGGAAGGGTAAGTTCCTAAGATACCCTAGGACACAGTCAAGATGAGGCCAGACATCAAGGTTTTGGCTTTGATGTTGACCACTGTCCTAAGTCCAGCCCTTGGTGCCATCAGGAACTTCTCTCCAACTTCTAGGGGGGCAGGTACTAGGGACACATTCCCACTTAGGCCATGCTGATTGAGGCACTGTGGAAAAATATCTCCCCTCCCCTCTGGAAACCATTTCACAGATCAGAGAACAGAAGACCCTAAAGGCAAATCACCCAAATTGTTCTGACTCAACTATGATACATGTTATCCAGTGTCTTAAGGAAGAGAAGTCATGTGGAAGACCTGACTCAACACATTTGTCTAGGACAGATGGTATTTTATGTTAGGCATATCTCAGAGAGGAGCATCTAATCTACTTTTCTTTCCTAGGAGAGCTACGAAGTCCCCTTACTTCATTTACATTCAGCCAAAATGACATGTGCCTGGTGTTTGTTGCCTTTGCCACTTGGGCTGTGAGAACCTCTGACCTACATGCCCCAGATGCTTGGAAAACAGGTTTGGAGGTCCTGGGATAGAGGGTATTATGCTTAGAAGACCTAGGGGCTATAGTTGTTTACCACATCTGCTGGGCCATCAGGGATGAAGGGTACACAGGAGGTTCAGGCTCTCTTTGACCTTGCCTTTGTCATTGCTAACCTACTTCCAACATACTGTCATTTGAAGGCTGGGTTATGTAGGCAGAAGGTAGTGAGAAGCCAGAGCTGGCACTCAGGATATCTTGTGTCTCTCTTACAGTCTTGCTGGCCAACATTGGCACCATCTCTGCTATCCGCTACTTCCGCCGTCAGGTTGGGAGAGGGCATAATGGCAGACCAAGACCCAGTTGCAACTCAAGCCCAAGCTGCTAGGAGCCAGGCTGGCCTGGTGAAGCATGGGACATGGGAGTTAACCCAGTTGACAGAACAAGATGTTGCTCTTCTCTCCATCCTTTGATCCCTGTCTTCTGAGGCATCTAGGAAGGAGCCAGTATCCTAGGTGCTGACTTACTTGGACTCGGCCTATGGGTCCAGCCAGTGGCTAAGGCCAAGTCCATTTTCCATACCTGAGAGTGTTGAGATTCAGGCTGTGGGTGAGTGGGCCCTGAGCCAGGATCTGGGTAACAGGGCATCGGATTTGCAAGTAATAACCACAGGGCACATAGCTGTATTTGAATTTACATGAAGTTCTTGAGATGTACTTGTATGAAGAAAGTATTTGTTGTTAATACTTAATTGGGCACCCTGCATTTTTTCTATTCATAAATAAAGGATGAGAGCAGAAGAGGACTCTACAATAAGTCTGGGCCAAGTGCCTTCATAGCTAGAGGGAGGCAGTCCAAGAATTTTGCCCTATTGAAAGGCAGGCTTGGCTGACAAGGGTCATGATCCCTGAGGCACTACAGCCACAGCTTTCCTAGGCCTGGCCTGAGTCAATGAGTCTAGAATAGTGGGTCTCAACCTTCCTAATGTTGCAACCCTTTAATACAGTTCCTCATGTTGTAGTGACCCCCAACCATAAAATTATTTTTATTGTGACTTCATAGCTGTAATTTTGCTACTGTTATGAATCATAATATAAATATTTTTGGAGCTAGAGGTTTGCCAGTGGGGTTGCAATTCACAGCTTGAGAACCACTGTTCTAGGGGATACCTCTGGGGGTGGCTTCTGAGGCCCCTGCAATATGGGATCTATGGGACAGGGTTGGATCTTCTCCAAGAGCCCTGGACAGGATATACATAGAATTTGATAGCATCCTATGGAAGGATTGTCTCCTGATACTATAGGGAGCTTGAATGAAGACAAGGCTGAGAGAAGTTGTAGATTGGGAAGGTAGGTGAGGGGAATGAGGTGGCATAGTGAAGACAGTACATGAAGGTCCTTAGGATGGTGGGGTACTCTGGCTGCTCAGAGGGGAACACAGGGACTCAGCACCAATAAAATCTCTTTCTTGTTTATGGTGTTAGTCTTTCTGGTCAGCCTTATCCTATGCACCCAACAGTACTGGATCCTCCTATACTCTTCTGCTTCTTGTGATAGTTCTCATCCTATTGACCTCTGACCCTCATGTCCTCTGACATCACATGCTGAGTTTGACAACCTGACTTTTTTAGTACTCTGTATTTCACACTCATGCTGTTCCCCACTTCTAAGTAAATACCTGCTCTAGCACTTTCATTCTTTCTTCCCTAGAGGTATAACCCCTGAGGACACCCAGGATCTCACTGATTTCCTTCACTGGTTTGTTCTTAGGAAGAGTTAGCTCCTCTTAGCTTGCTCTAGCTGCTAAAGCAGAGGAGCTAGAGCCTGGTGAGAGGTGCTTCTATTCTCAGAGTTCTAGAGATACACTTAACCCGCTGGGTTAGGCCCCAGTAGATGTAGTGTAGGTTAAAGGATTGGTATGGCAACATATTCTTATCCAGGTTGGTGCTAGCTGGTTGTGTTTCTGAGAAGCAGCCCACCTGGGGCCCTTTAGATCCACTGGATGAGTCCCATCTCCACTGGAGTTTTCCTGAGCTGTGGCCACTTCTGGTGGGAGGGAGAGGAAGTCTTGTTCCAGACAGGAGCCTCCTCATCTAGTAGGGATATTAGAAACAAGTCAGGCATCAACCTTTAGGAAGTAGCACCCCTTCCCCAAAGGAGAGAAGACCCTCACTCACCTGGGAGAGGTGGCAGGGAACTGGGTGTACTTTCTCTGGCAGAGGTGACCTGGGAGCCCCAAAACACAAGTCTTAAAGCCAGCACAGATCAGCCCCTAGCTTCCTGTCTGACTACACTGTCTCTGTCCCTGATATCTCCCTGCCCCATATTCTGCTTTTCTCCTTGGAGTCCTAGAACCCTATACCCAATATCCCCTGATCCTGCGGCCTCCATACCAGAGTGGAGGATGTGACTTACAAGCTGAGGGAGGTCTGAAGGCTGTGGCTCCCTGTTCTTGATGGAACCCCGGTGTCTCTGGGAAGCTCTGGACTGCAGGGCACCTTTCTTGGAGAGCAAGTGGGAGCCCAGAGGCCTAGGAGAGCTGGAGATTCCAGAGCTGGAGTCAGAGACAGGCACAGACACGGAGACTGGGGGGAACGGGCTTGATAGCTCAGGTCCAGGTGATGTCTGCATCGCACAGAGGAACTGCTGGGAAAATGTGGGTTTCCTGAAGCCCTGGTCTGGGACCACTATGAAGCCTAGGGATCCCTTGCCCAGAAACACTCTCCCTTCATAGTCACCAGGCTTCTGACATCTCCTGATCCCATTGTAGCATATCTACCTAGTAGGGTACTGACCTCATCTAGGCCTTGGAGGTCTGTAATCTTGCGGTGGGATGTAGCGGGTGGTGTGTAGGGATCAGCATAGAGTGGGGAGTGTGGAATATCCAAAGAGTGGTCCTGAGCTTCTGGGCCACTGTCTAGGTCCAGTACATTCATCTACAAGAAGAAGGAGATATACCGGTTCCCTCAGTTAGATGCAGCAAAGAACCTCTGTTCTCAGAACATACGGTCTCTGCATGTTCCAACTAGACAAGCAAGAAAGTAGAACAGAAGGGATAGCAGCTGGGGTCATGGTATGTGGTAGGCTCACCTTGGTTAGGTCCAGGTGCAAGGGCAGTGGGACAGCTGAGCCTGATACTTCCCCTCGAGCTTTGCCCCTGGGAGACTGGCTACTGCCACTGTGCCTCAGTTCTATCTTCTTTCGGCCAGTGCTTGCACAGTTAGAGTTGGTCTGTTTCTGCGGACACCAAGAACCACCCAGAAAGATCTCTAGGGCTTCTGTCCCACATACTCTTCTATGAGGCTGTATGAAGGCTCCTTCAGTTCAAGTGCTCTTCCTGGCAAACTATGGTCCTGGGTCACTGTGGGACAGTAAGACCTAGGCTCCCCAGAAGACAGAAGTCTTGTTTTCTTACCCCCTTGCCATGTCATTCCTTTAGGTACTTACAGGTACAGGTTGGGAAGGGAAGCCTATGGTGGTTGGCACTGAGGATTCAGGGAGGGATTGGCTGGTGGGGAGCATTGGACACTCTAATTTCCAGCTGGTTCGTCCATTGGAAGAGAGAGAACCTCGGCCTCTACCCACAACCTAAGCAGTAGAGGTAAAGTGAATGGCTGGATCTGTCTCCTTATCTATCCCTGCATGGACATACCCTTCTGCTCCCTAGTTTTTACTACCTGAGTTACAGGGACTTCACTGACCCCTCACCTGTGTGGGTCCATGTAGTCCTGGGAAATTTTCTGGGCCAGGCAGCAGGTGGGTCCCATCCCTATGAGAGACAGTCCGGAGGCACAGCAGCCATTGACTGTAATCCTCATAACTGGCACATAGCACACGGATGGTATTGATGAGGCGGCCTAGCACACAGACATGTGAGCTAAGGTGTGGCAGGCAGGACAGGTACATTCCTTACCCCACAGAGACCCCAGCAAAGACTTGGAGCATCTACCATACTTAACCCTACTAGAAGTCCAGTCAGAGAGTAGGTAGATTCTGGGTAGGACCCTACCTTCAATGAGAAAGGAGCGGATCTCCTTTTCCTTTTCTTCTAGGTTGATATGAATGGCACTTAATGGAAGCTCCCCCTGTAGAGTGGGGACTAGGTATTTATCTGTGTCATCTCAGCCTCTTCCTGACCATATCCTCCCCATCTTACCCTTCAGAGCTGGGCTGGAAACTCAGGCCACCTAGCACTGAGGATGACACTCTGAGAAAGGCTAAGCAGCTTTGTTTGTTCTGGGACATCTCCACATTACCTTCTGTTGGTTCTTCACCAGCTGATGCCAGTTGTAGACAGATGCTTAGAGGGATTGGTCCCTGTCAGGGAAGCCTCCTTGGTGTGTTTTTAAGTGACTGTGAGTACACACCAGTATCATGCTTTGGGTCCCCCTCCCCCCCAAACACACACAAACAGGATGCTTGGGAGTTGCTCAGAGACAAAGGGAAGCATGCACCAGGGATTCCAAGAAGTAGCCTGTTCCATTCCACCCACTCCAGGATTAGTGACATCCTTCTAGAATGAGAGGGGTGTAGAGGGTGGAGACTCCTCCTCTGTGCCAGAGCAGAGACCAGATTGACCAGGGCAGTGGGGCCAGATGGGTGGAGCCCTGTGCTCTGTCCCAACAAGCCCTGAAATACAGGTTTCTTAGTCTTCTCTCCAACCCCACAAAGGGCACCTTTAAGGGCAGGTATATGTGAAGGAGGCCAACCTTAAAGCTAAGCCCATCTGACTCCTCAGAGAAGATGGCCAGGGATGCTGGGTATAGTACCAGAATCCGGTCCCACTGTTCCTGTAGGGGTCAAAGACTAGAGTTAGATTGAGCACCTAGAGTCCAGCCTTACTTGCTACTGTATCCTTCCCTATCTCATTGCATCTCATGTCCTTTCCCACCTACCTGAGAGGGCAAATGCTGCAGCTTGACCCTTGAGGCACAGATTGCACTACCCATGGAATCACACCCAGATGCTCTCCATAGCCGTGTCCAGGGGAGTTCATCCCCCAGAAGACCCTGGGGAGGAGGAAGGAGTAGGTCAAAGGCAGACAAGAGAGTTTAGATTGGGGAAGGGCTTACAGGTTCCTGCTACTGACCTGAGGGGGTGCTGAGTGGCAGCGTTGCAGACCCCCCAAGAGAGCCATTTGCTTCTCCAGGTGGTAAAGCCAGTGGCTGAGCTCAGCTTCACTATGGCAGAGAACAAGGAGCGGGGCAGGTAGTGGGCCTGGGGGCAGAAGAGTCAAGTGGGCGAGGGGCAAAGCTTAGAGCTCCCAGAAGCCCACAGGAAAGACTCCTCTCCAAGGGTTCCAAGTAGACCTCCAAGGCCAGGTCCAGGGGTCCTGGTCCTGTGGTAGCTAGGGCAGCACTCTCCACACACCTGTAATCTGGAAGGCATGCTCTCTGGACCCATCAATCGTGCAGATGCTCAATTCTGACAGTGGTAGCAGCCCCTGCCACAGGACAGTATAGGAGGGGCTGCAGGGATTCCTAAAGAACAGAGCTGCTCCCTCCCTCCCTCTGTCTATACCACTCACCTGGAATGTAAGTCCTTCAGAACCATGGGCTTGGAAGTACAGGTGGGAGGGGAACAGCTCTAGATAGCAGTCACTGGTGTCCTAGGGGAGAGCGGGGCCACTAGTCTCAGAAGCTGGGGTACAGTCCCAGGGTAGCATAGATATTGGTCCCCAAGCATTCCC